AACACGAGGTGGAATGGGGAAGGGAGCCGTGGTTAGCTCGGGGCAGGTGCTGACCAACGGAGGTCCATCAGAGTGACCCCAAGGCCCTTGTGGGCGCTGCCTCTGCAGGTGGGCACCGTTAGCAAGCCTTTCTGAAGGGCAGCCACTGTTAAGGTGAAACTGATAAAAGGCAGCATATCGATAGAGAGACAGCATCTGGGTCCCTGGTGACTTTGAAGAGCCCCAGGTGAGCTTTCTCTAGCAGCCTGGCCCATTTCTGCCTTTTTAGGTCCTTCTGTCATTTACATCAGCCGGAATTGGGTTTCCTGTTATTTCCATCCAACCCCATTCTAGATGAAGCCCCTGTTGACTTGCTATTGTCTCACCATTAAAGTGGGGAGAAGGATAATTATTATGTCCTAGCTGTGACACTCACTGTGTGAAGAAAGCGGTGCCAACGAGCCCAGCTATCAATGAGACGCGATGCAGGGACGCTGGCTCGGTCCCCTCCGACTCTCCTGGGCCCTGCACAGCAGGGGTTGACCAGCAGGTCCTCCCAGGCAGGGAGGGCAGAGGCCGTCAGAGAGCCCTGCCCCGAATGACAGCCTCAGGTCGGCAACTGTAACCCTAAATCTGTCCACAGAAAGGAGTTTCATCAAGATGTCTGACTGAATGAAGTTCACAGGTGGTTTTTCCAGAAAAGCCTGTGAATACCTTTAAACTTGATGCAAAACTTTTCATGGGCACAGGTGCGGTTTCAGGGGGAGTCGGGCTTTATCCTTCACGTGTTTAGAAAGGATCCCCCTTACCCTCAAATACTAAGACGCATTGAGCCAAATGCAGAGACTCAGAAATGAATAAAACCTTCTCTTCAGAACCGGTGTCCGCACTTGGCGAACCAAAGTGAAAATCTGAAGAGTAGATAGACTTAGGTTCACATCCTGGACCCAACTTACTCTATTACTAATTAACTGTGTGACTTCAACAGATTACTCAACCTCTCTGTTTCCTTTTCCGTAATAACACCTACTCAGATCGTTTGCAGGGGGCTGCGGGGGGAAGGTTAGGTTTAAAATAAATAGTATAAACAAGAGTTGGGGACACAGTAGGCACTCAGCTATCACAGTTAATTATTTTCACTACCGTGACTACGGATACGCGGAGGGTACCCAGGAGACGGAGAGATTTTCTGACCGAGTTTTTGGCGACAGCGTTTGGAGAAAAAGCAGCGTCTGGCTGGAGGCCCCTGTCTCCGCGTGTCCCGGCCGTGTTGTTCTTGGCTGTTCCTGGCTGGTGTCTGTCTTTACCTTGAACTGCCCTAAGATTACGATTTCTTGTCAACAGTGACTTCATTATTCATCTGCAGCCGCTGGCCCCGCTGGACCGAGGCCCCGAGGACAGGGAGTCGCGTTCCCGCCGCTGCTCAGGGGAGGACGGGGTTGGCGTGGGTGACGTGACCGCTCTGAACGAAGGTGAAGGTCACTGCCTCCGCCCAAGGCGAAGTGCAGAACAGCTCAGCGTTTCCAGGACCCACCGTCAGCGCCCCAGCTGCTCCCAGAGACCCCCACGTGGCCTTTGTGGGCGAGGCCAAGGGGACAGAAGGACAGGCCCCCACAGAGAAGCAGAGGACACTGAGAAGGTTTACCCAGAAAACCAGCGACGGTCACAGGCAAAAGGCAGCTCCAGGCTGACTCGACACGGGTCAAGGTAGATTCTCCCACTAGTTAACTTCAGGGGCAAAGCTCCGAGCCTAGGGGGTGCTCTGCATCTGGAGAGTTTGCATTCACCCTCAGGGCGAATGTCACCTCATTTCCAAAGCCTCCTGAGTCCTGGAGGTAGAGGTTCCTTCCTTTGTGGGTGGACGTGGGAACAGAGCCCGGGCTCAGCCTCCTTCCATAGCAGCCTAGGCAGATCTCTGCTCCGCTGGACAGTGATTTTCACGTGCCTAATGGAACTCCGTGTCTGCAAGGCCTGGGACCAGTCTGATGGTGACGAGGCCAACAGAGAAGACGGAGGAAGGGATGGAGGCCATCTGCTCTGGTTCCAGAGTGGGTTCTGCTGCCGACTCCAGCTTCCTGCCAAGCCCCCACCCAACTCCTGAACTTCTCCGTCTCTAAAGAAGAGGCACGCTGCCTGTCTTGCAGGGTTGTCTTGGGGATCGAATAAAATCCACACCTGGAATAAAAACAGATTGGATTGCAGTCATTACAAAGCAGCTTCCAATTAAGAAATAATGTGTCCCGCCCCCCAGAACACTATCATTTCCTAGACTGTACCCCCGAAGTGATGACTGTGGTAGAACATGTCTCCAGACAGAAGTGTCCACTGATCTGCGTTCGGCCTCTGTTGGCTTATCTCCGATGCCCGTCAGAGCCGCCAGGGTGACCTCTCTTTGCCTTCACTGTCCCCACCATTATTCAGGCCCCAGAATTTTCCTAGGATGAGTGCTGTGGGTTTCAGGCTTCCTTCTTCCTGGCCACCCTCCACCGCGCTTCCCAAGTGGTCTTTCTAGAACCCAAATGTCACCCTCATGCTGAAAAGCACCTCATGCTGAACAGTCACCCATGATGACAGTCCCCTGATGTCATCAGGATTAAACCCAAACTCCCTGGCACAACCCATGCTGTGGTGGACATGGCGTCTGTGAAGTGTGACTCCCCAACTTCCTCTCCTGTCATTCGGACACCTGCACTGGGCTCCCTACACTCACCACTCTGCTCTCGGTCTCCTCGCTTTGCTTGGCATGGGCTGGGGCTTCTGCTGGGACCTTCTCTGGCCCCCCCAGTCCATCCGGCCACCAGAAAAGCTTCCCCTGTCGGTTCAGGCTCACTGCAGAGCTTTCTTCCTCTTGGAGAACTTCTGGTTCCCCCGGCGGGATTCACCGCTCTGGGTCCGGGAGCCTATGACGCCGCATGCATGGCACTGGCTGAGGTCTGTTCCCCTCGTGTGGCGATGCTCTCCTGACATTCCTGTGCAGTCCGCAGGGGCAGGGCCTGGCTCATCCTTCCTCGAATCCCCAGTTACATGGTAAGGGTGTGGATGAATAGATGAATGCCCCGTGAATGCACCCATCCTTTCTGCACCCACTGAGGGGTCGGCTTCCCGGAGAGAATCATTGGCTGATGTGAGGTAGGGCTGGTAACCACTTCCTTTCACTGGCTTGGATCCCCGCCCTCGGCAGGGTGGGCCTGCTCTTCAGCCCGAAGAGAAACCTTCTGTCCAGCCTTCCTTTCCCATTACATAAGCCCGAGCCTCCTCACCTCTGGCATCAAGCTTCAGGAGGGCAGGGGCAGGTCATGCAGCCCCACCCCGGTGTGCAGCATGTGCTAGAGCCAGACGAGCACCCCCCAGACCAGGGGTGCCACCTTCCTTAAAGTGCCTTCAGGGCACAACAGAGTGACAGGGGCCGGGGATGCAAGGTGCACTGACCGGCACGGAGGGTGCTCCCTGCCGTCCCTCATCATAGGCCCCGATGTGACTCTGGAAGGATTCGGATACCTCGGGCTCCCTTTGCCCATGCTCCCTGCTCCGAGCAGGTGATCCAGTCAGAGCTGCTTTCAAAAACCTTTTGATATGTTTTTATTGATTTTAGAGAGAGAGAGGAAGGGAGGGTGAGCGAGGGAGAGAGAGAGAAACATCAGTCGCTGCCTCCTGCATGCACCCTGATTGAGGATCGAGCCAGAAACCTGGGTGTACGTGCCCTGGGTGGGAACTGAACCGGCGACCTTTCGGCGCACAGGATGATGCTCAACCCACTGAGCCACAAAGGCCAGGGAGAGCGGCTGCCCACGTCCCTGCCTTTCTGCTGTCTTTATTTTCTTCTTCCTTTAAAGAAAATTCAGTCACTGCAATAAATTAACCTTTCATGACTCCATTTCCTTCTTTCCCATGGCGGAACCCTGACATATTTCCTCAAGGAAATACTTGCAAAATCATAATTGGAACACAGTGATTCATCATAGAAACTGGAGGAGGAGGGTAATGGATTTAGCTCTCATTTCTGGTGGCAGACATGTTAATTACATTTCCTATTTCCTCTCATTACCGTGGAGCGTCCCCCGGCCCGGCCGGCCGCCTCCCTGCCTCCCCGCTGGCCCAACTCGGGGCGCGGAGCTGACCGCGTCACTGCTGTGGTCTGAAGACCGTAGACTCCTGCCCCACGCGGGTCTGGTTCCCTCGGCGAGTCAGAAGGGGCCACACTCCTCTCTCCTGCCTTATGGTGGCCGCACGGAGCCAGCGTTGTGGCCTGGATGCTTTTCACAAGCTGCTGCCTCTGCCGGTGATGCCTTCCCCTGGGGCGTGTCAGGAGGGCCACCTCCCATCCACGTCGCCTCCCTGTGCACCTGCTCTGCTGACCAGCGCAGCTCCCGCCCACTCTGGCGCCGCTGGCCTGGCCTGGCCGCCCTCTGTCACCCCAGCCAGGGTACACCGCTGCGGCTGCCTTGCCACTTTCTGTCCCAATCATGCAGTTTATCTGAACAACTAGCGTCAATACCAAACACGAGAGAGTTTAGGCCCCAACCCCCCTCTCCTTTTTTTTTTTTTTTTTTTAACAAATAAGGAAGCAGAAGTTTGCAGAGAAAATAGTTGGTCTCAAGTCATTCAGTTAGACCGAGGTTCTCTGGCTCCTAAGCCAAGCCCTTTTCTTTCTAAAGACACTGTTATTCTTGAGGTACCTGGAGAGAAGCTGAGAAGAGAGAGAGGGGGAGTGGGGGAGAGAGAAGGAGAGGGGAAGAGAGAGGGGGGGGAGAAAGAGAGAGAGAGAGAGAGACTACTTTACTCAGCGAATGTCCAGGGTGAGGTGAGAGGCGAGGTGGGAACTGAATACTCTCATCTGTCTTTATGGGTGTGAGCTCTGGGTGCCTCTAACATGTGAGTTCCTCACTATGCTGAGTCCCTTCTAGCCCCCCCTTCTTCCCCCACAAACAGGCCCTGGGACACGTGGATTGAACAAACAGACCACTAGCCAACTGGAGAAACCACGTTTCATTTGTAACCAGACAAGCATCTGATAGCCCGCAGCAAAACCGTGGTAAAACCAGGAGTAGAAATTGCGTTTTAGGCTTCAGGTTCAACTTGGACTTTGGTCTCTGGATCCAAAGCTGTAGATGTGTGTACTCAGGTACCCCCAGGTCTGGAAAGGGAGAAAGGAAAAGAGAGAAAAAACCTGATGCAAAAGAATGGGTGACGAGAGGTGACAGAACGCCCAGTGAGGACTCTTGAACAAGGGGACCCTGCCCACCGGGAAGGCATGAACTAACAGATTCAGCTTCTCACCATTAATAAGTCCTCTCCCTTCGCCACATGGGAGATGCTAGCGTACCTTAAGTCATAACCTTCAAGGAGAAGAAGGGAAAGTTATTTTCTAGGGTTCCCATTATTCATGACGAGATGGAAAAGCCTTCGCCCTCCTACACTGTCCCCTGGCCCGTTCCCTCCACGAGAGAGCGAGAACCTCCGTGGATGCCCTGGACACGCAGGCGTGGCTCGGCGACGATGAGTCTTTTGCGTTGGGGCAAGGAGTTTGCATATAACTACTGGGCTTACTGAACGGCATAGCTCAGGGTCAGATTGGTATTTTTAAGTCATCACTCTGATTATGATAAAAATTACTTGTCAAAGGAGCAAGAGGCCAAATTAAGATGCTATTACACAAATTTAGGAAGGGGTGACCGTGGCTTGGCCTGGGAGAGCGGCAGTGGGAAGGGGACAGGGGTTCTAAGTCTCAGGGGTCCTCACAAGGAGACTGGATGGGGTGGGGTGAGTCTGAGGGAGAGTCCGTGATGCTCCTGTGTTTCCAGGGCCGAGGAGCTGTCTGGACAGCAGAGATGGTGGTCAGCACAGGGACCCAGGGGTGAGAAGGTCCCTGGGAAGCAGGACTCCCAGGCTAACACCAGGCACCTTTCCGGCAAACCAACAGGGGCCGGTCAGCCCTCTCATAACAAATGTGTTAGACTAGGAGACAGGCTAGTCTCAAAGATGAGCTGGCAAAGGAAAGTGGGTAGTGGCTCCAGTGGGCGTGGCTGGAGATTCCAGGCAGCACTGTCCACGCCCACCTGACTGTTGCAGGTCCTCTCTCGCTTGTTCACACCGGCAAGTCATCTCTTTGCTCAGAACAGAGATTCGGGGCTGCACTGCCTGGCGAGCAGTGTGCGAATCCCTCAAACACTCCCGTTTCTCCTCAGTGATAACCTGACCCTTGCTCCTTCGTTTTTCCTTTTGAAACTCAGTGCTCTAACCACACAGGATCACTTTCCACCCGGGGAGGATCCATTTCCGGTGCACAATGCCCCCGGGAACGAGGCCCTCCCTGCCCCTGCGGTGCTCACAGTCAGGTTCCTGCTGCTGTTTCCCGGCCTCTGCTCACCCAGCCGGTGCTCATGGCGCCCAGCTCCAGGCTCTGCGAAGGTCTGCAGATAAGAACAGGACAGGCGTGCCCTGGAGAGACGGAACTCCCTGAGTGTAACCTCCCTTCGACTGTGTCTTCCTTTTTTCTCCTATTAAATGTAATGGGGTGACATCGGTTAATAAGATCATGTGGGTAGGTGTCAAGGGTATGTTTCTATGATACGTGATCTGCATATTGCATGGTGTGCCCACCACCCACAGTCAAATGATTTTTTTTTTTTTTATAAAATTGTGGTGAAATCCACATAATTTACCCTCTTACTTTTTTGTGTTTAGTTCTATTCTTAATAACATAGAGATACTTTTTAATTTTTGAGAGTGATTCTTGAAGTCCTAAGACTTAATATTCTCCAACTTGAGGCTTTTGTTGTTCATGTGCAATGCATATAACAGGCTTCAAGGAGAGCTAACCTGTGTCCCAGTGCGCATGCTCCCCTAGCTTTTAAAAACCATATATATATATCGACCTACCATTTTTTAAAAAAAATAGACAGAATAAACTGATGGTTGCATAAGGGAAGGGGGGAAGGAGGGGCCAAAGTTGGAAGGGAATAAGAGTTGAAACCTACAGCTGTAAAGAAATGAGTAAGTCGTGGGAGAGGGTGCAAGCGCAGAGAAAATAGTCGGTATCATCATCATAACGCTGCGTGATGACAGATGGTTACTAGACCCCCTGTGGTGATCCCATCATACGGCTAACACGTTGAATCACTGCGCTGTATGCTTGAAATCAACCCCCTTCTCGGGCTCCCAGCACCCTTGCTTTGTACCCGCCATCCGCCCTGCGTCGCGCTGGCTCTCCTGACCCTCAGAAGGAGGGAGGGCATTCTGGAAAGAACTGGGTTCAGGGGTCCATGAACCTGGCCCCCTTTAGTCACCTCATGTTTTGGCCTCCTTGTTGTCATTCATGGGCAACATCACACAGTTGCGGTGAGAACCTAATAAAAGAATTCATCTGCAAGTGTCTTCTTCATGGTGACACAGTTTTCTGAGTCAGCGGCACCTGCAAACAGCAAAGTGGGCGGGGCGGCTGCTGGCGGAGACCTGCCACCCCATTGGGTGAGTGCGATCTGAGGGGCGGGGCCCAGGAGAGAAGCAGAAGTGAGGCCCAACCAGGCTAAAAGACAAGGTATGTGGCTTTATTGACAAGCAGAAATTTGGGATTTTCCTCGTGTCTCCAGGAGAAGGAACAGGAGGAGTCTGACTACCTGACACGTCCTACCGAGCAGAAATTCATCCATCTATAGAAACATGGGAAGCTCATGTTTAAAAAAACTTTTTTTATTCTATTCTTTTATTATTTTTAATTAAATGTAGTGGGGTGATTTTGGTTAAAAAGATCAAATAGGTTTCAAGTGCAAAGTTCCATGATACATGCTCTGTACATGCACTGTGTGCCCACCACCCAAGGTCAAATCTCCCATCGCCATATGCGGGGCCCCCTTTACCCTTTATAAACTCCCCTCCCACCCCCTCTGGTGACCACCACACTGTTGTCTGTGTCTAGGAGCTTTTGTTTGTCTGTTTGTTCAATTGCTGCTTTCATTTCATGTATCACAGAAGAGTGAAATCACATGTTATTGACTGTGTCCATTCCCATAGTCCCGGGGGCACCGAAGAGACCCCAACTCCCTCCATGGAGGACACTAGGGCCCTAAGTAGTCCAGGCCAGAGAGAATTCGGGGGAGAATAAGACCAGAAGTGTGGGCTCCCAGCTCCTACCCCAAGCTCCCTCTGCCCCCGCCCGCCACCCCTGCCCCCGACCCCGCCCGCCACCCCTGACCCCACCCCGCCCGCCACCCCTGACCCCCGACCCCGCTCGCCACCCCTGACCCCTGACCCCGCCTGCCACCCCTGACCCCTGACCCCGCCTGCCACCCCTGATCCCGTCCTGCCCTGGTCCCCAGAGCGGCTGCCATTCTCAGCCCCTTTGCAGCAGACACTGTCGCTGATCCATCCACTGGCAGGTCCCTTATCTTTTTGTTCTTTTCTCCGGAGCCACTTTAAATGTGATAAACCTGGTTATTTAAAAATAATAATAATAATCATACGATGTCCAAATAAGAATGTCTCACAGACTGTCAAGACCAATTGGGGTACTTTTTGTGTCAAGAGGGAGAGAGATCCTTCACGAAAGCGATGACACGTGAAATGAGTGAAAATGGGTCATTTCAACAATCACGGCGGCAAGCCGGATAGGATGCCGGTATTTCCCGACAGCTCTCTTCTCCGGGGGTGCGCGTCTATTACTCATGTGTCTTTGCAAGGATCCGGCACTTTTAACCCGTTAAAAAAAAATGACAAAATAGAAGGACGATTTCAGGAGATGAAAAGATAGTCTCGAGTTGGCCACGAGGCACAAAAGGACATGCACTGCACCACAGCCCTGGCCCTTTGTTTGCTGGTCGCGCTGCCGGTGCAGGTTTGAGGTCCCTGCTGCAGCGCAGGAAAGGGCGGGAGCCCCCTCCACCCTTCCCCTTCCTGCCCCTCCAGGGCTTGAACAAGCCAGACAAGGTCAGAACGACTCATACCGAAGCCAAGGGAGCCCAGGGCCTTGCAAATTAAGGTCACCTGGCAGGCCTTCTGCTTCTCGAAGCCTCGGTTCAAACCCACTGCACAGATCCCAGTAGAGTAAATGAAAAGGACCTCGTAGAGGCATGTGACATTGGCAGAAACGCACATCTGGTCATTAAAAATACACTGTAGATGGAGGAGTTGTGTGGCATGCAAATTCTATCTCAACTAGCTGCTCTAAAAAAATAGACCTCCCGTCACCCCCCCCCCCCCCTGTCCCCAGCACGCACACCTGGCACACCATAGGCAGGGACCCGGCTTCACGGAACAGCGAGCCCCTTGCCTTTGTAGAACCCCTCACGGAGCTTTCGTAAGCCCTTCTCTGTGGTTCCTCACTTACCAGTTGAGCAGGAAAATACATGTAAGGAAACAAAAGCCTTGTCCCTCCCAGAGAATTGACTTTCCGAAGGTCACTCGCGAATGAGGGGCAGAGAGAGTGTGGGCCTTCATCTCCATAGCATCACCCCATCGCGATACTACGGTCCACATGGAAGTGAGGCCGTGGTTCTAGCAGCCTTTGGGGTTTTCAGGGTTACCATGAGCTCTGAGGGTAAAGAGGCAGTCTAGAAAGGGAGCAAAGTTGTCTGTTGGAGGGAAATTCTAAACAGATGGTTTCTGCTAAGTTCTGAAAATACTCAACACGCCTGAAAACATTCTGGAGTCTCTGGGTCAAATCTCTGCAGCCCTCAGCTACTCCGTGTGGAGAACAGGGGGATTTCTGAGGACCCTGCATGATTCTAGCATGTGCTCAATCCTAATTTCTTGGAGATTCAGATTCAGAATGGCGAATGAGATCATGAGCCCTCTCTCCCTGAGAGAAGGGATCACTGAGCCTTGACTACGGTGGGTGGGCTCGGCAAGGTTGGGAGAAAGGCTTCTGATGCGCAGACCATGACATACAAACCCACAGACTCAGGAGTTCCCGATGCGTGTTGGCAGACTTCAGCGGGTGTAAGAATATTCTGGGAGGGGGTACATGGGACACAGAGTTGAGATCAGAAAATTTGGAATTGAAAAACAAGTTCAACAACTGGCAGAGAGTGAAAAGCTTTAAAATGAAAGTCAGAGCTGGAGACGGAGGAAGTCACTGGCCAGCCCGAAGCCTCGTGGCGCCGAGCCAGCCCCAGAACCCGAGGTATGAGGCCCAATTTCCTGGTTCCTGGCCCACGTCTCATCCTACCCCTCCTGGCCTGGCGTCTGCACACGGGGGCACGTCCCCGAATCACTGCCGATTCAGCCCTTCTGCCTCCGCACCTAAGTGCCACCCTCACCTCCCCTCAGTGGCTACTTCCCATGCGAGACATCTGGTTTGAGGTTCACCAAGGATGGCCCCAAAACCACAAGTCTAAGCCAGTGGTACCCAGACTTGTCAAAAGAATCACCCGAAAATCCAGGGAAAAGGAAACACGTGACTTGGGTTTAAACTATTTCCATTGTGTCCTCTAGCCGGTGGTTCCCTATAAGGACGTGACGAGAATAGATAGTGTGGCAGCCGTCTCCTGCTCTTGCGGTGGGCGATGGTCCCCACCTCCTGGAACCTTAGGGGAACCGGCTGTAACCGCTGAGAGCTGGTGCAGATACAGAACCGCCCCGGCTCTAACCGAACTGGCATTCAGCGCCCGTCCTGCCTGTTATTAATGATGTGTTTTCCCCATTCCTGTGAAGTAATTAGTTTACAGAAGTGAAAGGTATTTAACATTGATTTTTTTTTTCACCCGGGAGCTTGACTTTATTTATTTTTAAATTACCTTTACTGTTGTATTACGGATCTCCTCCCCTCCCCCACTGACTTCCTCCTCCCCACTCCTGTTTCTCCTGCCTTCACTACACGTTGTCTGTGTCCATGGGCTGTGCATACATGTATATAGGTTCCCTGGTTTATCTCTTCCTGCCCCTGCCACCCCCTTCCTGGGGCTGGTCAGTCTGTCCCCTGCTTCCATGTCTCTGGATCTATTTTGTTCATCAGCTTATTGTGTTCATTAGATTCCACAAGTAAGTGAGGTCATGTGGAATTTACCATTGAATCTCTGCCTTCAGGCCTCTGATCTGAGAAACCCAACAAACTAGTAAGAGGACGTCTCCCCCTGGACACCCCATTGGCCTTCTATCTGTATCATGGGGTGAACTGAATTCATTGCCACCAAGCCAGCTGCACCCGGAGCTCCCATCTCGAGGATAGGATTTCTCGACATGGGAATTGCTCAGCTATGCAATTTGGAAAGACAGGAGGCAGGATGAACATAATAGTGACTGAGTAGACCCTGGAGCTGCAGATCCCTGGTTGGAACTGGGTTCTAGCAATTAGTAAACTGGAAAGTTTCTTCAGCTGCCTAAATAGCAATTTTCTCATCTTCAAAATAATACCTATTCATTATTTTTTTTTAGAAAATAAGAAAACATACATAAGGCACTTAGCACAGTGCCTGTACACACTGAGTGCTCAATCAATGCTAGTTCTGATGTCTGATAGTTATGGCTTTGATACATATCTCACTGACTCTCATCATACAGCACATGGTGGGACATACAATATGTGCATAATAAGTACTGAATCCCTAGAAGAATGAGTGGATTAATCCCATTGACAGTCCATGGACTTGGTATTTCATGTACTACTTTATTTAACTCTCCCACGACACCGATGATAGATACATTTGTCACGTGCAGGAGGAAACCAAGGTTGTGTTGGCATACTTGAACAGTATGTTTCTGAATAACAACTTTGGTGGCTTTGAACCATAAAGATAAACATCTGGGTGTGCTCTAAGTAGTATGACAAACGTTAGCATACTAAGTTAGAGGAAAAGATGGTGCTCACTCTCTATGCAAAATCTGTGGTGACTCAAGAAAGTCGTCACGATAGTCCTGAAGCGTGTGCTAGAGTGAGTGTTGTGCTGGGCATCACTCGGGTGCTGCCTTATGCCACCCCCTGCAAGTGCTCAGTGCAGCCTGGGAGTGGGTGTCATTGCTCCCGTTTCGCAGAAAAGGAGACCAGAGTTCAGAGTCAGCGTAACGTTTCTGTTACACTGTGATTTTAGAGTCAGATTTCAAACCCGAGTCTGGGTGACTCCGGTGCCCTTATATTTTTTCCACAACACCACCCTGCAGCCCACGGTTCTCCTGAAATAGAATGAGGAAGCCGTGTGACTCATAACCCTGCTAGTCAGAGTCATGTCAGAAATCTGAGGCGTAAAAAGGACTGAAGGACAGCAGGGCAGGCCATGCCCCCAGAGGTTGGAATCGCCTCGGCCATCTCCACCGAGTGTTCTGTAGTCTCTGGCACATGTCCAGGGACAGAAAGCTGGTGGCGTCAGGGTGGTCAACACCATGGAAGAAGCACAGAGGGCCCCTGATTCAACACTCAGCCTAAGGATGATGAGGCCCGAAGAAAGGGTATGTCACCCGGGATCCCATCTTGA